TGGAGAGTATCTATTTTCCACACACACATCTTTGGTGTGCACTTTTTTTTTTTCAATCAGATATCCCACTTCTAACAAAATTACATGGTTCAGAAATCAACTTCTTAAACGAATCTTATGGTTTTGGGTATATTACTCTTTGTTCGGAGTTTGATTTCCATCAGTGCCTGAACTCCTTGCGCTCGAGCAGTCACAAGGTATTGTTACATTAACAATACTACGGCATGCGGTGAGCAAACGCGTGAATGACTTTTCATGACTAGTCGTAATAAGGCTTTACATTACACGTCATAGAATCATATCCACGACATTGTATTTAGTGTCGTAAAACCCAAATTTGTTGTAGGGTTCTTCTCAGTGCACCCACCACCTCTCTCTTTCCCATACCATAACACTTGCCTATGGCCTTCCCGTTGCCCTTTATACCCCTCCCAAGCAGCCCATCACCAAATCAACAACAACACAAACAACAACAACAACACATAATAATTAATTTAATATACCATTGTTTAGGTTTTGTGTAATTGACAATCCCATTTGACAAAACTGTTTTAGTTGTAATTTTATCGTCTCTTTTGTTTTAGTAGAGGCGGTGTGAGTATTTAGATGCGAAATTTAACCGAATTATTGCCTATGTAGATTGAGTTTGAGTAATCTGAGGCTTTCATGTTTGCCACTTCATTGGACTATGTTTATGAGATTTGAGTTGTCTGGTTAGTTCGTGGGCGTTAGAGGCAACGCCCAGGCGCGGGTTAGGGACCAAGTTGTTTGACCGTGTTTCGAAGCGAATCATTGTCGTGCTCGGAGCAGTAAATAGGAGAATCCGAATATTCTCTACTACAAACTGAACTTCTCTGGGAAAGATGTTTCACGCTTGAGCGGTGAAATGTGCGTCAAGTGGTTGGCTTTATTTTTGTTACCGCCAACTCTACTTACACCGCTCGAGTGTGGGAAGTGTACACTCTGAGCGATCTTTGCATCTTGTTTTTATAAAGTGTTGTCGTTTATTGTTGTTTAGGTTGAAGCCTTCCAAATTTTGGAGAGAAAAGTTGCCAAGGTTTTCTATTTTGTAGGCTATTTTGTAAATGTGTTTCCTTGATGATTTGAGAGTGATCAGTGGATTTACGTGTTCATATTGATATCATCAAGGGATTTGTCCTTATTCTTTATTCACAAAAAGAGATGTGTCTTCGGTTGGATTCTAGTGAAATTAGGCATAGCTTTGGCTAGCATTTCGGAGTGGCTCATCGTACGTGAATTCGATTATTAGCGTTTGTAGTTTCAACATTAGGCAAGGACAAATTCCGATGAATAAAAACAATAAGATGAAGAGGCAATGGTTTATCATTTCTCACTCCATCGCTCTTAACCAGGTGCAGGTGGTCTTCTTCTTCGTTGTCGTAGTGATCGAATGAAACAAGGGGAACAATAACTTTGATACATCGATTCGGTTCAATTTGAGCGTTGGTTCATTACGTAATGGAGGGAAATACACATGTAATTTATCTTTTTCTTCTTAGTGTATTATTTTATGGTTTTGGCCGGATTTTTTTCTTTTATTATTAATGGAGGGCACTCTAATTTGGTTGTATCAATTATTAATATGTCTGTATCGAGTTTGTTATGATTGTTTTAATGGAATATTAACTGATTATTTAAAATATAATTACAAATCAAGATTTTAAAACGGCTGGTGCTGAACTATGGCATCAATTAGTTACTAATTTAGTGTACCAACACATATTTAATATAATTATTATTGACCCCACTCATTAATTACATTTTAATTTTAATTTTTTCTTTTAAAATATATGTCATATTCAGTCAATGGATACACGTATATACTAATTGCATGCATATCAAGTATTATCCATTTGAAAGATTTTAAAATTTTCAACCATTAATTCAAACAATTATACCGGAGGACCTCAACTAAGCCTCGGTTGGCAAACAAAAAATCAGGTTTTTTTGGTTAAAAATAGCCACAAAAAAAAAAAATAGGCCTATTTTAGCAACAAAATAGGTTATTTTAGCCACCAAAAAACAAAATATCAAATCTAATCCAATTCATCCAATCCTCTCTCACAAAAAAAGCCTAAAAAAGTCAAAAAGTCAGAAAAGGTCCTTTCAAAAAACCAGGCTTAAAATAGCTAAAAAACCAAAAAAACCAAAAAGTCAACACCCACTTCCCAAACGGAGGCTAAAGAGAAAAAAAAGTAGAAAAAAATAGAAAAGTCGTTGGCCACCATGACAGAGAAAAAACAAAGTGAATCACCCTTCTTCTTTGTCTCCCCGTTGCTGGCCAATGTTGTCGAATGAGAGACGTTTGGGTCTGAAAGTGAATAAAAACTAATAACACATAACATTTGTAAAAACTAGAAGATATTTTTTGAAACTAATCACACATTCCATTTTTTAATTATAATAAATAAAATAAATCATTTTAGAACCAACACTCTCTTCTTCATTAATATTAGATTCTTCATGTACCATTTATCTCATGATATTTAAAATAAACACATAACATTTATGATTTATTGATTAACGTATATTGTCTATACCGTTTACAACTTTTGCAGAAGAACTAAATTTTTTTTATACATAAATAACCTCATTATGTATACTACGGTACAACTATTTTCGTTATTTATTTATTTTTTAAATTCAAAATGCATTATACCTGTGTTTTACCCTACATATGGTTTATCCAGAATTTTAGAGATGAAGTACATAATTTACTTATATTCAGTAGATGTTTGACACGTAATGACAATGCACTTTAGTCTACTAAGTAGATGGAGTTATTTACATATTTTTAAATACTAATAACAAGCAAACTGTACATGAAATAAACTATAAAGGGTAAAATAATATTTGCACAATTTTTATACTGAAAAAGAGATTTTAATGTTAATATTAAAAAATAATTTTACATCGTTATGGTGTTGCGTTTTTTGTTTGATGAGGTTAAGATGAGTTTTTTAGCCTATTCAATAACAACTAGTAGTGGAAAATTACAAAATTTAAAAATTTTGGGACCTTTCTAAATTTTGAAGCCTAAAGCACCAGTTTTAGTTGTCTTACACTCAAGCCGGCTCTGCCGACATGGTCGCCTGTAGCGATACTCAGCCTTGTGGTGCTTTAGTTGTCTTACACTCAAGCCGGCTCTGCCGACATGGTCGCCTGTAGCGATACTCAGCCTTGTCCACAAAACAAACCAGGTTAGTCAACTTCAATACATATTCATATTCTTAAAAATTATTTGAGATTAACTCGTTACGTAAATAAATTAAATTTAAATATATTATAAAACCTCGTAGGTTCTTAATGTAAATTTGAACAATCTATTATATAACTCAAAAGTATATTTACATTATAAAAAATCAAACTAATCAAGCTCCACTTGTGTTTTGTTCTTTAAAAACTAATTCGTGATTGGCTAATTATATAAACAAATTAATTTTGAAACACGTTTTCAAATTTGTTAAATTTTCAAAATAAGTTTAAACAACTTACTACTCTACTCAATAAATATGTTAATAGTAGATATTATTATATGTAGATATTATAATAGTTGATAATATATGTAGATATTATATTTAATAGATTATATTAAATATAGATAGTTGTTGCATAGTTGTTGCTAGCCTAGCACAGAGATGCTTTCTTTTCCTTTTGCTATCTTTCGGTGGCTTCATCATTTTGTCTTGTAAAACATCTCCTATATAATGGAGGTTCCATTTGGTTGCAATATACATCAAAAACACAGAGCTAATTTGCTCTCTCAATCTCTCTCAATTACTTATATGGTATCAGAGCACAGGTTTTCTGCCTAGCCTCTTCTTCCAACATATTTTTTCTGCATATTGCATTTCATCTGTATCCCTTTTTCGTCCATCTCTGAAATACAGTTTTCACCACACCAGAGCCTTCGTCTCCTCCGGACGATTCCAACGCCACCAATTTCAGCCCAATCAGACGTTACACACGCTCTCACGCGCCACTTCTGTGAACGGCGCGTCGCCTGCCTCCGCCTTCCGCCTCACACGCGCTCTACGCGTCCTCCACACTGTCCCGTGCTAACGTGCACCGCGCACTACCTTGCTAACGTGCGCCGCGTGTTTCTGACATCAGCACACGTCAGCCCTCTCTGCTACCATGCACTGCCTGGCCTGTTTTGCTAACGTGCGCCGCGCCCTTTCTTGCTAACGTGCGCCGCGTGTTTCTGACGTCAGCACACGTCAGCCCTCTCTGCTACCATGCACTGCCTGGCCTGTTTTGCTAACGTGCGCCGCGCCCTTTCTTGCTAACGTGCGCCGCGCCCTTTGCCTTTCATTTCTGTGCCTCTGTGGTCATATTTTGGGTCATTTTACTCCTTTTCCCACTAATTTCGGCCTTCTGAATTCATTGGTAACCTCGGTTTTTTCAGATTCTACCACCATTGTGCTATTTTTTCCCTCATGGATCGCCCGGATTCCTCTAATCACCCTATTTCCGTTATTCTTGACGGGACTAATTATGTCCTTTGGGCACAAGCCATGTCTGGCTTCCTCAAAGGCAAGAAACTTTGGCGTATCATTACTGGGGATGTGTGCAAACCAGTCCCAGCAACCACGGAATCCGCTGCCACGGACTCCGCTGCCAAATATATCGACCGACTAAAAGATTGGGATAGTAAAAACTATCAGATTATCACCTGGCTTCGCAATACTTCTATTACATCCATCAGCCTTCAGTTTGGTAGGTTCCAACTTGAGTCTGCTTCCTCTCCAGCCAAGGCCATCTGGGATTTTTTGCAAGAACGCTATCAGACTACCGGTCTTGCTCACCAATATCAGCTTCTGAGTCATCTTCACCGTATGCGCCAAGAAAACACTCAGACCATTAATGATTTTCTCTCCCAAATGTATTATGTTTGGGATCAACTCGCTCTTTCTGAGCCTCCATGGCCTCATACTGAGGATGCTGCCTTGTTTACTACCTACCGTGACCAACAGCGCTTGGTTTAGTTTCTCATGGCTCTCACTCCTCGTTTTGAGCCCGTCCGCGCATCTCTCCTACATCGCACTCCTTTACCCACTCTTGAGCAAGCCGTTTCTGAACTCCTGTCCGAGGAAACTAGGTTTGGTACTCTCCATCCACACCCTGTGGACTCTGTTCTTGCTACTCCCCAGATTCGGAGTTCTCCTTCCCCACAGCGGTCCACTACCTGCAACTATTGTCACAACCGCAATCTTCCATCGACTCATCTTCTAGTTCATTGTCCCGTTCGTCTTTGTCGATTTTGCAACAAGACTGGCCCCGGTCATCTCCAACAAGATTGCTTCCGCAATCCTACCCGTGCCTCTCGCCATGGTCCTTCCACCGGGAATCTTTCCCGCAGCAACTCTCACCGTTCTGGGACTCCATTTAAAAACATGCCTGCTCCACGCACTGCTGCTGCCGTCTCCGAAGATTCACCTTCTTCTGTCCCTGTAGATCCTTCCACTCCGGTCTTCTCTCATACCGATGTTGAAGCCATGTTTCAACATTTTTGGCAGCATTCCGGTACTCCTCCATCTACTGCTTTGTCTACCACCGCAGGTAACACTTCCTGGTACTTTGACTTCGCTTGTTGTAATCACATGACCTTTGATCCTACTATTTTTACTCCTCTCTCTTCGACTCCTCATGTTCCTTCTATCCATACTGCTGATGGGTCTCTTCTGTCTGTAAGTCATGTTGGGTCTGTTTCCACCTCTCACTTATCTTTATCCCATGCATATCTTATGCCTGCTCTCACTTTAAATCTTATCTCCATTAGTCAATTGTGTGAGCATGGTCTAACTGTTACCTTTTCCCATACTGGTTGTTTGGTGCAGGACCCTCGGACCAGGCAAACTCTTGGGATAGGCCGTAAGCAAGGACGTCTCTACGAAGTTATCCATCTTCATGTTCCGGATTCCTCTCAAATCACTGCTCCTACCACTGCTACCACTGCTACCACTGCTCCTCCTTTATCTCATTTTCAGCTTTGGCACTATCGTTTGGGCCATCTTTCTGTTGGTCGTTTGAAGTCTTTAATTTCTAGTGGTCATTTGGGTACTGTAAGTTCTGATGCTTTCAATTGTGTGTCCTGTCAACTTGCAAAACAACCTGCTTTGTCGTTTAATAAAAGTGATTCTGTTTCTCTTGCGCCATTTGATCTCATTCATTCTGATATTTGGGGACCCTCTCCTACTCCTACTATGGGAGGCGCACGTTATTTTGTTGTTTTTATAGATGATTTTTCTCGTTTTACATGGTTGTTTCTTATGAAAAATCGCTCTGAACTCAAACAACTTTATTACAATTTTGCTACAATGGTTAAAACCCAAATTTCTAAAACTATCAAGATTTTTCGCTCCGACAATGCCATGGAATATAAAGATTTTGACTTTCTTTCTTTCCTTAGGAGTCATGGTACTCCAAAATGGCCGTGCTGAACGAAAACATCGGCATCTACTTGACACTACTCGAGCCCTCCTTCTCTCTTCCTCTTGTCTAGAAAATTTTTGGAGTGAAGCCGCTCTCACTGCTGCTTACACTATCAATTGTATCCCTACACCAGTCATTTATAATCACACTCCATATGAGCGTTTACATGGCACCCGTCCCCCTTACGACACCCTTAGGGTTTTTGGCTCTGCCTGTTTTGTTCTTCTCCAACCTCATGAACGTACCAAACTTGAACCCCGTTCTCGCCTTTGTTGCTTCTTAGGGTATGGTATTGAACATAAAGGGTATCGCTGTTGGGATCCTCTCTCCCAGCGTCTCCGTATCTCTCGTCATGTGGTCTTTTGGGAACACACAATGTTTTCCTCCCTCTCTCAATTCCGTTTATCCGTTCCCTCACCCTCTCTGTGTTTTACTAACCCTTCTGCAGATCTGTTTTCTGATGAGCTTCCTCCACTGCCCATGCCTGACTCTCTTGAGACTGCCTTGCCTACTGGTCTTTCTCAAGCACCTGCCAGCTCTGATGGTCCTGATCTTGCTCCCTCGGACTCCTCACCCCCTGTTGAGTCTCTTCCTCTGGCTCCTCCTCCTCCTGCTCGACCACACCGGGTAATCCAACCTTCTACTCGTCTTCGTGACCCTCAGTGAAAAACACTTGGACAATGTTGCGTTTGGTAGAGTTTTGTAACTATGATTTGAGAGTATAAGTTGTATTTTGAGTTTGTGAGGTTTGAAATTATGATTTGAGTGTGGAAAATTTGTTTGGTAAAGA